ATTTCACACTCTGAAATTAAACTGGATTGCTTCTGTTGGCTCCAACTGCTGCTTCATGACTGACGTGTTGCGGCGAAAGCCTGCATTTTCGTGACAACTAGTCTCGAGTATTTTTTAAAGGTCCATTAACCTGAAATTATGGTTTTGAAATGGCAAGAGGGCAAATGGATAGTCAATATTATTATAGGGGGGAGAAAAAACATTCAACCCCCACGTAGTGACACCTCGTCTTTAACTTTATCTGCTTCAGAACGATGAGCTGCTGCAGTTCAGATTTAAGAATCTAGAATGGTTCTGTTTTGTGAACGAAAAAAGAAAAAACTCTGGGCAGATTGACGACCTCCTGAGCTGTTCGTCTGCGTCATCCCTGTAACACCTAACGTGCCATAAATGCTCCAGGAAGTCTGGCTGTGTGTCAGGGAACAGCTGGACTTTTTAACTCAGACCATTTGGACTAAACGCTGCCTTATTTCTTGTCTGTTTTATTTTATTTGTCTGACACATAAAAAGGCCGTCCCCATATTTTTTATCTTTTTACCACTTCATTAAAAGAAAGATGTTTCTTGCCCTTGTCTTCTGACTGTAAACCCAGTTGTTATATAGCATCCACCTCTAACCCCTCCACCATCTCCCCCCTGTATTCAGACTTGGCACGAGTGCACGCTTCGTGCTGCTTGCTAACTCGTCCCCTGTGACATGACAGGCAGGGCCGACGGCTCTGGGAGACACAGGACCGTAGTCTTTCTTTTCCTGTCAGGGGCTCCGTGTGTTTACTCTGTGGCTTTCACACCCATTCACTGCTGACAAAGTGAAGTAAAGAAAAACCATAAAGAGCCATTGAAACAAGGCCGCAGAAATCGGTGCTGTGTATTTTAAGCACGTTTCTATTGCAGGCCTGGAACTCTGACGTGTATTTGTGCCACCGTTCTGATTAAATGAAATCTTAACCTTCATGTCTCCTAAAGTGGTCCCTAATCACCGGTCTCTATCCCAGGGTCATAGTGGAGTGCATTCCAAAATGGGTTACGATCCCACTCTCTTTCTCTTCCTGCCTCCTCAGACTCCATTACTTTTAGTTTCTCTTGTCCACATCTCTATCTCTTTGTTTAACCCCTCACACATGGCGCGGCTGTGACGCAGCGAAATGCCCCCGCCACCCTGCCCCGTGCTGTTCTCCCAGGGCTAGATCACAGTGTTCTGCTTCCAGTACAAAAAGCCAGGACTCTGCCAACCCACCTGTCCAAACCACACTATCAAGATCCCCATTCATCAGCCGCTCTGCCGGCCCTTTGTAATTGTTCCTTCTTATCAGTGGGAGAGCAGGGACCCTCTGGGTTTCTGACACAGATTTCTTGTGCCCTGAGGGGTAGATATTGTTCATCTGGCTCTGACCTCAAAATAGAACTGGCAACAAAAGCTATAATTGCCAGTTCAAAAACATTTCTCCTGTCCTTCTTGGTCTGTAATTAAAGAGTTTAGCCTGCAAAATGCCGGAGAACAACCTGTGGGGTTTATGTTGACTGAAAGAGAGTGAAAAAGAATTCAGGTGTGTGTCCAACTTCCTCGCATTTAGAGAGAGAGGGAGGGACTGGGATCTCTAGGTGAGTGCAGCTGTGATGTAAGAATATCTGTACATGCCATCAGGTATGGCTTTCTGAGAAACACCGGACACTAAAAGCAGATGTAGATCCAAGCAACTTTTCATAAAGTGAATGAAACAAACAATAAACAGAAGACAAGCTGGGCTTGATTTTTTTTTTTTTTTTTTTGCACTGGAGGCTCCTGGGAAGAAATCATCTGCAGCAATGGCCCCATGTGTTTCCCATTATGAAGGTCTCCAGTACACTAAAGCCCACAACAGCAAGGAACCCCAAATTATAGCTACAGTATACAACATAATTCACTGAGGCAAGACAGACAAGAAGGCTGCAAAGTCTATAAAAAAAAGACAACAGCGTAAGGAAGCTGTGCTGAAGAAGAAGAAGAAGAAGAAGAAGAAGAAGAAGAAGAAGAAGAAGAAGAAGAAGAAGAAGCCTGCTTCGTCACTTGGTATAGGTGCCCTTCCTGACCTCCAGCTTTACCTGGACCAGATTGACTGGACCTTCTCCATTATGGACGTGCAGAACGTGCCCTGAATGCCAACTCAGCTCCATGAAGGATGACCTTTAGCTTGTCCCTTAAATCAGGGGTTGCACAAGTGCTAGTCCTCATAGTGACAACACAGAGTTTTTAAACCAGATGACCTTCCTAACGTGCTTTAATCTGGGTCGAATAAACTCAGAACGCGCCGCGTAGCAGATTATAAACTTATCATTACACACACTCTTGTCCAATTACACTAATCCACAATTGATACAGCTTTTATTCCGGATGCACTTCCTCATGCAACCTAACCTGGGGATTGGGGACTAGGTGGAATGGAACCCGAAACCCTCTGCATGGTAGGCGGGAATCCTCGCCCTGTGCCACTCTAGCCCAATAATACTCATTCACAGAAGAAGAAAAAAAAATAACCACAGGGCTAGTGCCTGCACAGTTTGAATGGGTCCCTTCTCTTTCTTCAGCCTCTCTCTCTCTCTCTCTCTTTTATACACAAACACACTCACACAGACACACACACACACAGTTCTGGTTTTAATAGGGCTCAAAGCCAAAGTAAACACAGAGAGGTGCCCTGTTTTTGCAGTTTAAAGGACAAAACAAAGAAAGGAAAGTATTACAGAGTTTGTTTTAATTTTGTCTCTTTACAAAGTGTTTAAACTCTGGTAAAAAAAAAAAGAAAAGAAAAGTTTTTTATTTTTACCTTTTTATAATCTGGCAATGAAAAATGTGAGTCTTCCTCTCCTTTTCACTGATATCTCTGGGACTGGAGTGTAGTCCTGCTTCTCTGCCCCTCCGTCACACTGGCTCCCAGCAGACTGGGCTCATTTTCCTCTGCTGGAATGCGCCCTCAGTCACTTTGTCCCGCTTTGGAGCCGCTCGACTTTTATCCTTGCTGGAATAAAACTGAACTCCTCTTTGTGGGATGAAATGCTTTTCTTTCTCCGTCTACTTTTACCTGCACTCAGTTCCAAATCACTTCCTCCGGTCCGTGGAATCACTGCTGCTGCAGCCGCCTCCACAAGTCCTGGCACGGGATAGTCCTCCCTCCTGCACCGCTACAGGCTGTCTCCTTGTTCCCTCCCCCTTCCACTCTACCTCCCCCTAATCTGTGGCCTCCTCCTCCTCGCCATCACCTCCTCCTTCCTTGCCTCCCTTCATTTGTTCTCACACTCTTCTCTGTCTCAGACGCACGCAAACTTCCGGTTAAAAAACAAAAACACCAAAACCACTGAACAATTTAAAAATGTTGAGAGTCTGTTTACAAACACATATCAATACAGACAACACTCCGGGAATATCCTCCCAGTTTAATTATAAACTATATTATTATTATTATTATTGTTGTTGTTGTTGTTGTTGTTGTTGTTGTTGTTGTTATATACATATCCTGCGCAAAATGTTTATATTTTCTAAAAACCTTAGACTTAAATCTGTATTTCTAAATTAGTGATAATATTTTTTTATTCCCTGTGTATAGATGCATACGCTGAAAAGAAAAACATAACAAAAAACACAAGGAATGGTGGGCGTCCTGGTAAATCCTTTCTTCTCTTGCTCCATAAAATAGTTTTTTGAAGTATTATTTAATATTCTTGCAGATATTTTGCACACAAAAAAACATATGATGACAAAAAATTGGAAAGCTAGAAAGTGGACCTTTAATAACAAATATTTATTTGTAATGCATGATTGAAACTTGTTAGTTCACACTGTGCCACTGTATTAAAACAGAGAACTACAGTATTTCACCATAAGATTAATCTGTTTTGTGCAAAAATATTAAAGAATAATAAGAGATATTTTTTTGTACTGTATACTGTGTATGTATGCACATTTTACTACACCCAGTGACATTGTCTTCTACATTTTACCCATTCATGAACCAGGAGCAGTCGGATACACTTTACTACAGAGTTTTGTTGGGTTTTTTTTTTCACTTGCTGAGCAAACCACAGCCCCGACAGTCGTGAGTTAAAAACGGGCAACTCTCAGATCACAAGCCTAATTCTGTAACCACCGGGCCATGGACTGTCCCCAGTTCTCAGGGCTAAACCTCATCTGAGGTACAGGGATAGACAAAGGAAAGGAAATCTGTGGTCAGATTTAGCTTTTTTCACTTTTTCTTTTTCTGGGTAAAAAAAAAAAGGCTTCTTGTCAAATGAGAGACCACCCAGACTCTGTAAACTCTGTGGGAGTGCATCAGGACCCAAATACTTATGGAACTGCATGTTGTTATCTTATAGAGGACTATATTGATGTTTCATCGAAGAATTCAGCATTGTATAATTTCTCAGGTGGTCCTTTAATATTTAAATGTTACATTTTTCAATTGTGGTTTTGGGGTTAAAAAAAGAAAGAAAAAAAATGTCCTTTGACCAACCTGAGTGCTGCCCTCATGTGTCCCATATTGGAAATGTCTGGGGTTTTATTTTAAAGGAAAATTATATTATTGTGATCGAGGTCTTTTTAACCTTTTGAAAACAAACAAAAGGCTGTGCTCAGAATTGTCTTAATAAATGCAATTTTTTTTTAATCCAGCATTTGTAGTAAGTACATAATACGTAAATAAAATTAGGATTTCATTGTTTAAGTAAATGTTTCAAGAATATCATCATTAATCACTGGTCACATCCTTGTCCCTCTCTTAGTGTAAGTTACTGAAAAGATCCTCGTTATTTTCTTATTAATTAATTTCTAATGGCTGATATAGAATGTTTTTCCAAAAGTGAACGTGCATCTAGTCTTAAGAGGCGACAAGGCGCCATCTAGCGGCAATATTGTGTGTTGCTTTTGACTCTACCAACTTCAACCTTTTCCACATCACTATAGAATAAAAGAACAAGTGAATTTTTTTTTTATTTGCTTTAATAACAGTTTAATGATAAAACAACATGTAATCACATTATTATATAACCAGCTACAATCTCCACATTTTAATCAGTAAAGACTAAAAAAATCCAGCTAGAGTGATGTGACTAGAGCTAAACTACGGTAAAAATAAAAATACAACCAAGTAATTTGAGGGCAGTGTCTAACAACCCTGTTGAAATATACCAGTGTTACATTCTATTCATGTGGGCAATCAAACAAGAGCGTGTGGGTTATATGGAGCATTAAATTTAAAAACCAAAAGCACCATTGATCTACAATCAATCAATACACTTAAATGAATTTGATTCTACAATCAAAAAACTCTCCCTATATCTACTAAAAACAGAAAAAAACGTTATAAAAGCAGTTTAACATGTAATTGCACAGGATCTGCTACTAATGAATCTAATTACTTATCTAATTACTATTGCTTATTAAGAGATGGAGCTGCTATTGTAAGTAGAACTGCTGGAAGAGAAGCTGTAGGTGTAGGCAGAGGAATAATCCACACTTCCTCTACGAGACCCAGCACGAGAACCAGACCTGGATCCAGAGCGAGATCCAGGGTTAGAGACGTTGTAAGGGCTGCTGATTCCCTTGGAGGACACTGAGGAGGCCTGCAGCAGCTTCATACCATTGCTTTCCTCCACCATGCAGCCGTCCATGGCTTCCTTGTAAGAGATCTTCAGTTTTGTCTTGGGGCAGGTCAGATTCTTCTGATGGGTCTTTGTGTCCTGAAGCTTCAGTGCTGCTTGACCGTCCAGCCATCCTTTGCGGATAGCCTCTTCTATGGTAATGCGATGTCCACTGCCGGGCTCAATCAGGCCTCCTGTCAGGTACTGGAACTCCAGAAATCGCTGACCTGCCTCGTAGGGCAGCCATGTCTCCTTGACTGCTTCTGCTGCAGACATTTTTCTTTTGGACTTCACGTCCTCAAACCCAATGTAGGCTTTCTGAGCAGGTTTGAGCTTATTCGCCATGCTGTCCTCAATAATGCCCTGCTTGGCGGCATCCTGCAAGGATAATCTCTCACCGGTGGCGGGGTTGATAATACCACCTGTGCAAGACTGTGCCTCAAGCAACCTTTGTGCAGTAATAGTGTCAACAATTCCTCTTCGAAGACCTTCAGAAATTGTTATCTTCTCCAAAGTCTCAGTGTCAAATATGGCTGCCACAGGGCTCTGGTCGTCAAACATCTCAGGGGGTGAGACAGTGATAGAAATACTGCTGATGCGTCTACGGACCGTGGGAGAGGAAGGTGCAGCATTGGTGGGGCTGCTGCAGGTGATCATGTCATCTACATTGGTGGCTGAGATGGCCATATCTGTGCTGTGGGTGTTGCTGATAATTTGGTCGGCAAACTGGGTCAAGGTGAGGGAGCCGCCACGATACTGATCGTAATTTTTCTGGTCAATTATTCCACGCTCCAGGCAGTCCTGGATGTCATACTTTGTCCCTGTTTTCCGGTCCACTATCACCAGACGTGAGGAGCCATCTGACCCTTGGATGGTTATTTCCTCCCACTCACACTCTTGCTCTGACAGGTCCAGGAAGGTGTCGTAATCGATCAGCTCTTTGTGATAGGCCTCCCTCACTGACATCTCCAGTCCAGTGTCTGGGTCCACAATCACAACCCGTCTCTTGCGGAGAACATTGGTTCGGCTCTCTTGGGACTTCTCAGGCTTGTTCTTGTCTCTAAGTGGCAGAAGAATGAGGCCTGTTTTTGAATCGGTAATGCACCTGTCTTTCAGCTGGAGGTATGTCAGGTTTTCTTTGGTGTTGGGATCAAAGAACCCTTTTGTGTCATCTCCTTCATAGGTAAGGATCTCATTCATCTCTTCATCAAAATACCCTCTCTTATATGCAACAGCCACATCAATGCGGTGGCTCTCTTTGGGGTCAATAATGCCACCGCTGGCAATCTGTGCCTCGAGCAGACGGATTCCATGACCTTTCTCAATAAGATCTTTCTCAATAGCCTGGAAAAGGGAGATTGTCTTTCCTGTGGCTGGGTCTTTGTATCCAGTTACTGCCTTCTCTGCAGACATCAGTTTATTCTTGAACTCCTTTCCAATCAAGCACCTCTTCGCTGCTTCTTCGACTGTTAGGAAGTTATTGTTGACTGGATCCACAATGAAACCAGATGCGGCTTGTGCCTCCAAAAGCTCCAGGGTGGTTCCTCGCATCATAAGACCTTCCTTCATGGCCTGATAAAATGGCAGGATTCGATCATTGGCTTCGTCATAGATACCTGCAATACAGGAAGAGCCGTACAGGTATGACTTCAGCCTGTCTTCAATGTCTTTACTGGTGAGCTGGCCTTGTTTAATTTTCTCCAAGTCAGATGGATCCAAAAGTTCAGACTTGACCAGGTCTGTGATAGAGACTTCTCCACGGAGACCCTTTACTGTCATGGGCGTTTCTGGACCACGGAGCAGCAGCAAACCATTAACGTGTTCCACGATACACTTCTTCCTGAGTTCACTGTATGTTACCTTCTCTCCTGTGGCAGGGTCCAGGTAGCAGGTGGGTTTTTTATTTAGAGCCCTGTAGAGGTCTTCATTTATAAGATTCCGATCTAAGGCCAGATCTTTGGGAAGGAAGACGCTCAGAACGGGGTCCAAAATGCCTCCAACAGAGTCTTGCGCCTGAAGCAATCTAACAGCCGTGTCTTTATCTACGCGTCCCTGTTTACAAGCCTGGCCAACAGACAGGACTTTGCCAGTATATGGATCTTTGAAGCCCAAACTTGCTGCTTCGGCAGCAACCAGAGTGTCTCTGTCTTCTGTGTCCACAATTCCTCTGGAGCAGGCAGTATCCACAGGCATTCTTTCATTAAAGGCTGGGTCCACTATGTAGCCCGTAGCAGCTTGTGCTTCGAGAAGCATAAGAGCACTCTCCGGGCTGAGGAGGTCCTTGTTTTTGGCTTCAGTGAATGGTATCTTCCCATGAGCACCAGTTGTCATGCCAGAAATCACTCCAGTGCCTTTCAGATTGACCTGGATGTCCACAGCCACCTCATCCACTGACTTCTTTCCACTTAGAAGTTGCTCCAGAGTGGCTTTGCTGATAATACCACAGTCACACAGCTGGTGGGCTGTGACTTTTTTCCGCACCCCATCAAAGACTAGTTTAGATGGATCGACCGTTGGGGTCTTCTCATCTGTCTGGGTCTGCCTGTTCAGAGAGCTGGGTTTCTGCTGCAGCCTCTGTATCTCTCTCAGCAGGGCATCTCTCTTGAGAGCCAGCTCTGACGCTTCCTTCTCAGAGATCAATAGCTTACTCTTGTACCGCTCCTCAACCATCTTTAGCTCCCTCATCAGCCTCTCAATCTCACTCTTCAGAGAGAGCCTCTCACGATGGGCCTTGTCTTTGTCTGATTCGCACTGCTTAATTAGGCTTTCTCTCAGCTCGTACTGGCTCTTCATGTGGTTGAAATCCTTGAGGAGGGAATTCTTCTCGTCCTGCAGCCTCTGCTTGTTGCGGAGCTCGGTCTCCAGTGTGAGCTTGATGCGATTCAGCTCCTCTTCTATGCGCAGATGACGATTCTTGTCCTGTTCCAGCAGTTTGAGTTTGGACAGCAGACTGTCTTTTTCCCGTAGAATTTCAGTGTATTGGCTCTGGGATTCATGGACTATTATGGATGTCTGTGGAAAAAGGTAAAGAAAAGCATAAATTAATCATTAATAAACAGATATGCCCCAGAGTAGTCACATGATCTATGAAGCAGTTTATACTTGGATTCAAATTAATCTGGCAAATGCAACCCTATGCCTATTATAATAATAACATTATATTATTATTATTATTGTTGTTGTTGTTGTGTATTAATGGGCATAGAAAGAGGTGAACATGCATATCCCAGCAAGAGTGTTTGTAAATTCATCTACTGCACATCTATTGCACTTATTACCAATGAAGCAAAGCAGAGATAAAGTTAGTTGAGTTGTGTGCAGAATTATGAAGTGATCCTTCAATGCAATCAAAAATACCTCAATCGATTGCTTTTGGAATTTTTCTATTTCCAATTTAAGCTTTTCTCTCTCCTTGGTGAGGTCACTGATGAGAGCCTGGAGCTCTGCTGTCCTCTTGGTGGTAGTCTGAAGCTGAACATGCAAGGCCGAGATCTGTGTGGCCGTCTCCCCATCAACGCTGTCTTTGGAAAGCTTCAGCTGATCCCTGTCTTGTTTCACTGCCCTCAGTTCTTCTTCCAACCTGAGTCTCTCCTTTGTCAGGTTCTGTGTCAGAGTCTTCAGCTTCTCGATCTCAGTAGTATATTCGTTGAGCTGGCGGCTCTTCTCCTCAATGGTCTTATATAGACTCTCATTACGTAGATTAAGCTCATGAATTTTGGCCTGCTCCTGAAGGAGTTTCTGTTTCAGAGCCCTGAGCTCAGCTGTCACAGCTGCCAGATCCTCCTTGGTGATTTTTTGCTCTCTCAGGCTCTTTTCCAGAGAGTCCTGTAGGACCTTCAGGTCCTGCTCATACTTCCGTTCAATGTTGGTAGCTTCCACCTTCACTGATTTTAGTGTGCTGATTGTGGTTGTGTGCTCTCTGCAGGTTTGGGTCACCCTCTCCAGCTCAGCTTCCATCCTCTTTCTCCGTGTGAATTCCTCTTGAGCTGACCTCTTCTGCTTCTCCAGCTCAGCCTCCATACCATCCAGGGAGGACTGCAGTTCTCTGATACGGCTCTGGAGCCTGGCAGAACTCTGCTCAGCTTTTGTTTTTTCAGTGGTTTGCTTCTCCAGCTCCACTCGGGTGATGCGAATCTCCTGCTCAGACACTTTAAGTTTGTTAATTGCTTCGAGATAGGAGGCGTTCTTTGCCTTCAGCTCTGCTTCGGCCTGCTTCAAATGGTTGATTTCTAATTCCAGAGCTCTTCTCTTTTTTCCTTCCTCTTCCAGGTTAAATGTCAGCACACTGATCTGTCTGGACTTTTCTTGGTTGCTTTTGGTGATTTCTTTTAATGTGATCTCAACTTCATCTTTGCGTTGTGTAGCAGTTCTCAGCTGTATCTCCAGCTCACTGCGCACCCTGGTCTCTTTTGCCACCGAGGCCCTCTGCTGGTTTGCTTCTTGCTCTGCCCTGCTCTTCTGCTCTTCTGTGTGTGAGATTGACAGCCTCAGCCTTCTGAGCTCCTCCTCTACATCTCTCTTCTCAGCTGCAAGTCTGTCAATTTGCAACCGTAACCCTGCTGTATCTTCTTCCTTTTGTTGCGAGGCCTTCAGGATTGTAGTCTTGGTGACGTGGATCTCTGTCTCATATGTCTGCTTAAGCTGATTAATCTCTTTGGTGCACTGTGTTCTTACCTTTGACATTTCTGATTCAGCATTTCGTCGACGTGCTGCTTCCTCTTCCAGCAGTATCTTCATCCTCTCCAGTTCACGTTCCTTGTCCTTCACACTTTTCTCAAGGTCAATCTTGGTCCAGTTAAGCTCCTCCAGTTCCTTCTGCCTGCGACGAACCGCTGCCTCATACTCCTCTTGCTGACTTGCGTAGCGCTCCTCCGCTAGCCTTTTTTTCCTCTTTTCCTCTTCCAGTTCATACCTAATGCGGGTCAGCTGGTCATTGAGATCTCGCAGCTGGGTTTGTGTACTGTCCAGACTATCTCTGGCAGCATTGGCCTTCATTGCTGTGGATGCCTTAATTTCCTCCATAGAAATGATAATCTCTTTTGACTGAGTGAGCTCCAGTTTGTAGCGGGCCAAAGCATCCTCCAGAGACTTGTTTTTCTGATCATTATCATGGATGTCGCCCTTCAGACGCCTCAGTTCCTCCTCTAGCATTTCGATCTTAGTGTTCCTGATCTAAGGATAAACAACACAAAATTAACTTAGATGAGAGTAGATCTAATCAAATTCATGGAAAACAAAACACACAATTTACCTTAAGCTCTTCCATGTTCTTCAACAGTTCACCCAGGAATTTGTAATAGTCACCAGAGCGGGTAAGAAGCTCAATGTAGCGGGACTGGAGGTTAGTGGCCTGTTGACATCAAACAAGTGTATATATGGTATTTTTAAATGTGTTGCCATGTATGATCATTTAGCTGGTGGATATGGGTAAATATGTAAAAGCTCGTACCTCCTGTCTTACAACAGAGGCAGGAGACTGCAGCATTGTCCTCTTGATGGGGATGTTAAGCAGAGTTTCCAGACCTGAGCTGTAGGATGCCAACTGTAGCTCATAGTCCTGGGAGAGTACAAAGAAATACAGACTAACCATTTTAACATGGTTGTTTGTGTATCAGCTTAGTGGAGAATACAGAGACGCTTTGACCTAAAGGTCAACGGCAGCCAAATCAACTACAAACCTTTATGGACCCAGCACAGGTGTCTGCGTTTCTCTGCAAATCTTCTACCTTCTCCTTCTTTCCTTTGATTTCAGTGTGAAGTCCCTGTTTAACAAAAAGTGAAAAAATTGATGTTATTCCACAAAAGTAAAATTTGTATAAATAGGAAAGCTACTACAGTGTCTCACAGCTGCCATTGTCTAAATTTAGGTTCAGTTTTGTTATTTTTCCAAAGCAAAATCAGCTCAGTTTGAATAGGACAAGTGACTATATATTGTTAATATCAACAGGAAGAAAAAAAACATGCCTTCTGTTGGTTGAGGTGGTTCATTAGAGTCTGGATGTCAGTGAGCTTAACCGTTTCAAGGCTGTCCTGTCGTTTCCTAGCATTGTCTATCCACTGCTCCAGGGAAGTGCTGCTCTGCTGATAATGTTTCAGTTGTTGTTCCTGCTTCTCCAGGTCCCACATTCTGGAAAGGGAAGCGTGGGTCGAGGTCGGGAAAGGAAAAAGATCATGTTGGTTTTGAGAAACAATGCATGGATGGAAAACACTATTTGTGAATACTGAATCACTGGAGGACTATTCTAATGCACCTGCTATCAATCTGGGCTTGGATGCGGCGCCAGCGGTCAGACAACTGACCCACCAGGTCAGAGTACTTGGACAACTCAACGTCGCACTTGTAAAAGGTGCCGGGAATTTGATCATTCCACTGTGTGGCTTTAGCCAGGTTGGACTCCATAGATGTGAGCAGGTCTCGTTTGTGTTCCAGATCACTTTTCATTTGCTATATATGAGCAATGGAGGAAAATATTTAAAAAATAATATTTTGATAGATTCCTTAGATACGACACAAATTATTGGCAAATAGCACTATTTTTTTTAAATTCAGAAATCATGCAAACCTTAAGGACACTACGGTAGTTTTCCACCTCTCGAAGGTCCAGAGATGTAGTCTCCTTCTCTGTGAGCCTGGCCTCATGGACTTTTACAATATCCTCAGCTTGGAGAAGGCTCTGGAGCAAAGCCTGAAGTGCTGTCAACCTTTAAAACCACACGTTGTCATTATAGCACGATCTATTGACCAAACATCACTGCAGCATGAGAGGAGTAAAAAAAAACCTTTGGGTGTAGGCGGAGTAAAGACCCTGCAGGCTCCCGAGTTTCCGATTGATGATTTCTTGTTCGGATCGTAGAAACCTGGCTTGCTCAGAATCAGGAGATACCCCATCCAGTTGTTTCATAATTCTTTCTCTCAGATGCAGGTACTCGTCATGAATGGCATCCAAATCTTGGTGCACATGCTGTTAATTTTGAAAGTTATTGGCATTAGTTTCTGACTTTTTAGTGGCATTTTTAGACAAACGAGGCAAGTATAGTCTAAAAAAAAAAAAAAATGTGTTCACCTGGAGCTTTTGGATGTTCACAGAGCACTCATGCACACTGTTCTCCCCCAGGGGAATGTGAAGGTGGCTGGTGAGGCCTGACTCAGCCAGCTCCAGCCTGTGGCGGATTTCTTGCAGACTACTGAGCAAAGTCAAACTGATTTTGGGGACTTTGGGTTGTGGAGGCTGTTTTGTGGGTTCAGTCTTCACCTCTTCATGTTGTAGTTGTTGATAGAAAAAAAAATATGTGAATCAGTTTATTTAGGGGGAAAAAATCAGCTCATTAAAAAAAAATGGCTCATCAAGTTTGGGACTCACCATGACCAGGCAGCTGGATGATCAGTGTGTCATAGTGGTTCTGGGTTCTATCAAAGTGACCCTGGATTGTTTTCTTGTCCTCCTCTCCAAACATCTCAGATGATTGACTGGCACGAAGGAACTCTTCGTAGTGGGTCTCCAGTCTTTTAACGATGCTACGGTACTCCTCAGGACGCATGTTAGACAGCTGTGGAGAGGGTGGAGACGAAAAAGGTAATAAATGTAACAAAGAAACTGAGCTGAGCTTCTAAAAAACGAAGTAAAATTACAGTGGATAATGTATTTTAACCATGTCTTACCATGCTGACGGTGAGAGAGTTGATGTAATTCATGTCCTTCAGGCAATACTGCCAGGCAATGAGACTCTTAATGTTGATGTACAGCTGATTCCAGATGCCCATGATAGCATCATAATACTGCTCATTTCTGTGTATCAGCACAAGATATTAGATATTCATAAAGTACATGTCAGAAACTCATATCTCAGGTCATTTATTTATTCCTCACTTGTTGGCAAGACCAATGCTGTGTGGGTTTGGTGGAGGTATGAGCAGACACACAGATGGAATCAGCATGTCCAGACCTCCAGGTCCTGTCACCAGCCACTTGCTTCGCTGCGTGTTGTCCTTCAGGATGCCTTCATTTCCCTTTAAAATTCCAATCTGTAGCAGCGAGGAACAGGACAAAAAACAGTGATCTTGATTTGAAGTGTTTTGTCATCATAATGTATCTGTCTGTCTCTGGGAGTGCAGAGAAATCCCCACCTGGTCTTGTTTAAAGTCACATAAGGCCTGGATTATGACTTGGCTGGTGCTCTTCTCCTCTGGATTCCGGGGTTTCAGCCTGACAATAGACTTGGACTTGCTGGCCAGACTCTGGACTTGCCTCTTATTCTCCATAATCCGCTCTTTCTCCCTCTGTGGAATAGATAACATAATTAAGCTGTTAGTATTTAATCCGGTCATTAGTGTGTGCAGCGACTACACACTGACTCACATTCCTCAGATCACGAAGATCTCTAACTCTGTGGGTAAAACAAGAATTACTCGAATTTTTTTGCTCCAAAAAACCCAGACTAACCAGAAGAAATGATATGCATATTATTTACCACACAGGTTATGCAGCAGATCAAATAACTGATGGTTGTTGGGTTTCCACTGTAGCAATTCTAAATAAGGAGTGTTTTTTTTAAGCAAGAAAGGTCTGGTCACGCCCTCCGCACTAGAGAATTCCACACTACTTGTTTGGCACTAAAATTCACGAGTTTGGCCTGGGGGTTTCATACTCAGTGGATCTACTACAAAGAGTTACTAGAAGTATTTACTCTGCCCTGCAGTGTTTGCTTGCTTCTACAACAGCCTCTGTGAAAAGTGACTTTACATTCAGAAATGGGAGTCTTCCAAGGAATGCACACAACAGCTGTGTCAGTGTTGTCTCTTTTCTTCTTTTCATACTGTCCAGAATTCTGGCAAGTTTCATATTTTTATGAAAAAATATTAGAAATATTAAAAATATTGGAATAGAAATATTGAAATATAGACAGCAGCCAAAATCTCCTTCTCATGGAGATAAAAAAAACATTTGGGTCTCTGCAAAGAATATTCATTTATCAGAGTCAGGGAAAGAAGGATGTGGACATCTTCCAGGTGAAACACTTTTTTCAGAAGGGACCTTTTTCAACTCACCGTTGTCTTCATATCTATCCACAGAGTTTGGTTTTAAATACCAGGTCTGGACAAGATCTAAAAGAGCAGTTAGTGACAGCTATGTACTTACTGATGACAGTGTTTCAGGTCAGTAACAAAAAGACACTGTTCACTGAGACACAATAGCAGCTGCAAAAGAGTTTAGAAGATAAGGTGAACTGACTGCTTCTGTCAATGGATAATCTATGGCTGGTCATCTCTTAGATGCCTTTGGCAGTTGTGTTTGACAGATGGTCAGTCACATGTCAATTAACCTTTTAACCTGTCCATTAAAAAATACATCAAAAGGTTGACCAGGTTGCAGTAATTCTTGGACTTAGTGGGGTGCATTTGTACCTCCAGGTTTTTCAGGAGCTCAAGGAGGTTTTCAAGTTGGGTGTTCTTATCGCAGGGGAACTTGGTTCGAATGGTCTCGTGTTGTTTCTGCAGCTTGGAATAGGTTTCGTTGGCCTCCTTGAAAAACTGAGAAAACGACAAAACAACGTCTTCATCGTCGTTTATATAAAAGCAGACGTTTTTAACAAACAGCAATGGGCCAACGCTCACCTGGCTGTAGGCAGCGTTCTCTTTCAAATGAACCTGAATACACTTGGTAATCTGAAGAAGCCAACTCCACTGAGTCTGCAGAGTGTCCATGTAGGCCTTCAGCAGCAAACACAGTCATCAGTGACAGGACAACACTGAGCAACTCAACGTTTAGGTAGATAAAACACAGTACTCACTTCAATCTTGTCTGATGCTGGATGTTGGCTGTTTAGGAGTCCGTCTGCTTTCACCTTCAGCTTGTTCAGCTCCTTCTCCTTCTCCTCTAAGTCGCTCATCAGCCTCTGTAAGTACGAAACAGGAACCAAACATGACCACAATGTTTTAACATTATGGCAAGATTTGCAGGAAATGTAATCAGAAAAGTGAAGCTATGACTGTCTTCATTGTTACCGAATAGCTCTCCTGTTTCCTGGGAATGTAATTGTCAATGTTTTTGTCTCCCCAATCAAACACAAGTTCCTCCTCCTCCCTCTCGTTCACCCACATGATGGCTCGGGAGATCTCCTCGATGATGTTCTGTAGCTCACGCAGCTGAATCAAGCGGCTGTGAGACATTTTCTAAAATAGACAGAATACGATGTATGATTATAGACATTATTCATGGCTATAACTTACTTTTTCTATTCCAAAAAAGATGTAAGTATAGTAAAGTAAATTCAATTCTGTACCTGCAGGGTATCCCATTCTTGTTCCAGTACAGAGCTGTTGTACTTGTCACCTCTCTAAAAAAATTCAATTGATTGGATTTACAAAAGATGGGATAAATAACTGACCACTTATTTAAAAAAAAAATATTTTCAAACAGCTAAAGGTAAGGCAAAAAATATATATTGATTAAATACACAGCAGAAGAGGACAGCTCACCAGTTCTTCTTTGGCACGTTCAACTTCATGGCTCCTTTGAATAGAACTGTGAAATTTGTTGTGGTTTAGGATTTGCTTTTCTAAGGTGGCAGAGTCATCTCCCCATGGCGCTGTCTCAATCATACGCTACAAAATGCAAAAACACAGTTTAAATTTTTTTGAACATTATATGAATTAAACAATACTAAATACTGTGTTTTATTAGGACATCTATATATGTGTTTGTGGGCATGTCCAGTTGCCACCAGATTTGTTTCACTTGTGTTTATTATTTTTCCACAACACTGGACTTTTTCCTCTTTTGTCCTCTAGGTGTCAGCACCTAATCAAAAACGCTGTTGTCAGGCAGGAAACTATTCCAACTATTCACTCTTGTTCTGCAGGCCTAAGCTTTGATAAGAACTCTGCCAGCACATCAACCTCCGCCCGGCCCTGCTCTTCACTCCCTCTTTCTCCCCTCCCTCTCACTCTTTGTCGAGGCTTTTGTTTTCTCACCACTCCCTTTTCCCTCATGATTACTCAAGCTGGAGCTTCACACGACACACAAATGTTCAGGAAAATGCAGTGAAAACATGCAGTAAATATTGAAAGATGCTGAAACAGTGAAAGATAGTAGAAGTAATAAAATATGTCGTACATATTTATAGCTTGGCTAATTATAAAGAAGCGAGTGGGAATATGAACGATACTGAGAGGTGAGGCTGAAAGTGGTGACAGAATGACTGGGTGTGGTTTTGAAGGGTTGGGGAAGAAGAGTGCAGACGCTGGGTGTGTTCACACAAACATGTAAGTAATCAACTGAACTGCCCCGTCCCTGTACAGAGTCTGAGGGAAGTGTCATATTTCACACTCCCTTACTTCTACTATTCCTCATCGTCTACCTGCCTCTGTCCTCAGTTTCTGACCCGGCTCTCTCCTCGTCACTCTGTCTCCCTCTGTGTCCCTTAGTGTCCAATGGCAGGCCGTTCTCACACACACTTTGTCTCAATCTCCCCTGCACCTCTATTGGCCTCTTTCACTCACAGGATCAGGTTCTAAAAGCCCGTCCAGATGGTTTCAGTTACAGAAGGTCAGAATGTGCGATAGCGTAAGTGCAACCACATAGACACACTCCTCCTTTCACATAAAAAAATAAAGTAAAGACTGGTGTGTCAGTACTTGCAGGCACAAACATGCAAGTAATAATCTCTACTGTTATGACAAGTAAATAACTGTTAACTACAGGATCCAAGTTTGTTTATTTTTTTGCAAGAATGTGGGAGATGTTGTCACCAAACACATCACATCACACTATAAAAAAAGTGCTTTTCTTAAGAACTCAACATTTAACCAGATAATTCTTCAAGCCTCACCTCAGTAGCTGGAATTTTTGTTTCATGCTAAATGCACTTCATGATTATGAATCACTTGAGTTAACTGCTTTAAACCTCTTATGGTTGTTTATTTTGTTTGTTTTTGCAGCTCACCTTTTGTTGTGCAATCCAACCCATGGCATCATTAAAAGCTCTTCCTCCGTCTAGGGAGCCCACGCTGCCCCTGTTCCGTCTCTGGATCATACTGAGCTGCTGTTGGAGGCCAACTTGCATGTTATGGAACTGGTCGACGCTGCGGAGTTGTTCATTACGTGAGCATAAAAAAAGGAAATGGAAATGTCACTGTGCTGCTCTGTGTTATTGTTTAGAACCACCACCGGATGTTTAGCTGCAGGCTACATTACCACGAGTGTGTGTACACTTTAACACAAGCAAAGTAACAAACAAAACTGTAACGAAAAACCAGCAGTCGATGAAAGCCCACATGAGCTCATCATCATTGTGTTACCTTTTGAAGACGTCATTGGGAATGCGCATTTGCTGCAACTCTGCGCCGCAAACCTTCAGCTGCTCCATTGTTTCTGCAGACATCATAATATATTTTTCCACATCCACAGGTGGCGCCCCCTATAAAAGTCACCCAACAATAACATCATTAACAACATCATAGCAATTATGTCAAAATAGGTTATCTGCTTCTCAGGTTGCGTCCTGCCCAATCCTGACACAGCATATTCTCACTGATGTGTCATCACAGACAGTTAAAATAACTCACCTTAACTTATCTCTGTGCCAATTAATCCAATTTAGACAGTAAAAAAACTTCAATGTTTTATTTTCTAATTGTGTAAAATAGTAAATAGTTTGTCAGACTTACACTCTGGAGCATCATCTTTGCTCTCTGCAGGAATTCGTGACACTGGTTGGTCAGAAGGATCGCTCGCTGCTGAATAGCCTGAACACTGAAATGAAGACAAGATCTGTGTTTGTAAAACTAAACACTGCTTAGGCACGCAAATTCTGTTTGGTTACTCCTGTGTAATGTTGTTTGAAAAAGAATAATACTGTCGACATAAATATATTATATATTAACATAAGTTTACAGATTTAGAGGAAATAGATTGTTTTTTTGGGACCTACTGTCTGTTTGTGAGACGTGCTCGGGGTCACGTTAAGGTCAAAACACACGTCCCACAACTATTCATAATTATGTATTACATTTTTATGTATAGTGAGAGTGTAACTCTGTGGGTAGAAGATAAAGTCTGAGAGGTTGCAGCACTGTTTATTTTTAAATGAATAGCATTTGTCAATAGGGGAGGATGTGGATGGAATGTGTGTGTGTGTGTGTGTGTGTGTGTGGCTGTACTGTATTTCCTCATAATGTAAAATAGACAGCATATAATGAATTAGCAGACACAGCCAGGGTTGCCTCCTCTGCTTATACATGTCAATATAAATTTAAAAATTGTTTCTGAAACATTTTATTAAAATATATCATCAGATGACAAGACCCTCAACCAGTATCTACACTGGATTCTGACTGACTTTACTTCAGATATGTGATAACAACACCTTTGGCTAAATAAAAGTGTTTTTTTTTTTTTTTTAAGAAATGCAATTTTTCAGTAAGACAATGGTGATACCGGTTTAAAAAAGTTTTACTTTCGATTCGCAGCGTTTCTGAATAAAAAGATCTCATTCATAATATTCCTTCCCTGTTTTGACTTAAGAAAATGATTAATAACAAATGTGTACAGCGCTATCAAATTCAATAACAAAAGACACAACAAAAAATAAACACGCTATAGTGGGGAAACAAATACCGTAGTCATTTAATATTTACTTTGTGTTTTTTTTTTTTTTCAAATATTAACCCCTTCCCACACACGGCAACGGCAATTGTCTTACATTTTTACGCAGAAAATTCTAATGTTGTTATTATTAAACAGCTTAAATGTGTTAAGAGTAAACTTTTAGTTAATTTCACTTCCACTTTTGCAGCTTTTTGGCAGAAGCAACAGGTTTTTTCCGAGGTTCTTACGTTATTATGCCACCTCCTCCTGCGCCCATGCTCATTTGGCCCTTGTGTCCTCCGTGGCCCCCGCCGTGCATGGAGGTCCGGGAGAAGGTGGTGTAGGTGTATCCGCCGCCGCCGCCGCCGCCGCCGCCGTCACCGACCGGGTAATCTGGCTGGAAACCGTTCCCACTACGGTACACTTCGTTCCCGTAGCATGCGCTCGCCAAATCCGGTCGTGAGTTGCTCCTGGTGCCCATGGTGGCCAGTTTAGAAGTGGAGCCGCAGAAACTCATGTTGTTTCTTCTGTTTAAAGTTGTATGTTTTTTGTTTTGTTTGTTTGTTTTTAAGCAGGAAAAGTTGTGGAGCTGTGCTGTCCAGACAGCAGACAGACCCTGCGTGTTTTTCCTCCCTCCTCCAAGTCTCTAGTTGCGCAGATAATGGTCTGACTGCTGTGAATAGGCGGAAGCGACAGAGTTTTGGATTCGGACAGAAACCACACCTTGCTGTGTGTTTACGAAACACTAATGCAGCCACCGTAGGCTGATCGGTGGGAAGAATAGTAGGCTGTAAAAAAAAAGCCATTCAGCGAATTCCAGGTGAAACTAACTTTGTGTTTTACCCTTAAGTTAATTTGTCAGCAGGATTTTCCTGTTTCACGACACAACAGTGGTGGAGACGTTTGTGGAGGTTGACATTTTAAAAAATATATATGCATGGCCCTGTTTTAATATCTATTGACTGTATTAGGATATGCATGCATTTGTAACGTGTATACTTGATCATGTCTACCCACCTAAAATTATGAACTGTTTATTAGCTCAGGAAGCATGCAAATAATATTTAAAAAGCCGTTGGATGCGATTTAGCAACATCTAGTGGTGAAGTTCCATGTTGGGACTTATTGTCATAAGTAAGTCATTTAATAACCTGTTTTAAAAAATTAAAAAATAAATATAAATCTGTTATATAAATAAAAATAAATCTGTTGAAAATATAAAATTACCAAATACCAATAACCAAACAACCATATATATATATATATATATATATGTATATGCATATGTTTTCTAAATTATTTTTCAAATGTTTCCAACACCAACACCAATTGAAGCTTAACAGCCTTTACTAAGGAATACCAAATACGTCAAATTCAACGGCCAGTGCTGTTGCTGCTACCAGGAAAATACCCCACTGCTTGAACTTTATGTCGAGAAATGGAACAAACAGTTAGTCCTATTGTTTGGACCACCTGTGTTGTAGATAAGCACCAGAGTGCTTTCACTTTGGCCAAAATGTAACCCAGATTGAATGCAGATTTGGGCAAATTCTTACAATAGTAGTTTTTATAGTTTATTTATAGTTTTTTTTTTCTGGTCCACAGAAAATGGTCTCATTTTAAAATAACAGAAGTGTGAAGCTTTTAGTCACGTTAGTATTACACAAAGTTAGTTTTTAGCTTTTAAATAAAGGTTTTTTGAAAGAAATGGCTTCAGACTACAAAATATATTCTTTGCAGCCATAAACAGAACCTCTCCAAAGTACTTGCTTCTATGGTACAAAATCCTTGGAAACAGCAGTTTACTACACAAACAACATCCTTTCTGAAGGGGTCTCTTTCATTGGGGGGTTTTACTGCACTGGCATACTTTCACTGAGGTACTGCACAAAAGAAGGGAGCCCTGACATACTGCAGTGTCGCCACTTGATGTCACTTTTTTACACAAAGCTACAAATATCAGTACTGCAACGGCTGATATTATCACATCTTTTGCCAAGGACTTGGCTAGTAAGAGAGTTTTAAATTTAGTTTTTTATATACAGTATGATAGATATGGATAAATAGCAATAAATCAGTATATATAGACCACTTTGAATAACTTCTTGAAGTATGTCCAAGTACTTTTACTGCAGACAAAATTAAGTATGGTGTGTGTAAAATAAATCACAGTGAGTCACAGGTTTTTATTTAGATAGCCAATAATTTAGGGGTGTTTTTGTTCTGTTATCATTTGAGGGTCACTGTGGACTCATTTAAACCCTGGCAAGTGATAGTATCGGACTCAGTCAGCAGTCATTAAAATAAAAACCCTCTACAGCATGACACAGAAGTGATGGTGGTTGTGCAAAGAATTTCTCATCCTGGGTTGAACATTCTTGAGGTCAAAGGGAGTCCACTTGTGTGTCAAGTGTTGTGTTGCTCAAACCAAAACCAAAAGTTGGCTTTGACATTTAATTTTCCAAAACAACATGCACTTCTTTTTGGTTTAGAGTTTGTTTGGTGCACGTACAGTATTTTACGGCACTTTTAAACTGTCTTCATCTTCTTTTCTGTTTTTTAAACCAATCAAACAGGTCAGGAGTGGGTGTGTCTGATCTCTGAAAAGTGAAAGAGAGTGAGACGGTTGAAGACACTGATCAGGGAGGGGTCACACATACTTACCTGTGAGGAGGCGGGTGGAAAAAAAGGTTTTTCTTTGGTGACATGATACTCTGTGTGTAATAAGATTGATTTAAACTCACAGAGTCATTTATGGAAAAATGATTAATCAAATAGTCACACATTTCATGGAATACACTCCCACAGACTTTTTAAAAAAAAAACTCTTGCTTGACGTATTCTGCCCTCTGGTGTTTCAGCTCAGAGCTATCATTATTACACCCACGGATCAATCTCCCAGAACTGATTTAAACTGATTGAGAGGAGAGGGAGGCTGGTCATTGGTGAGAACTCAACCAATGACTTTAAAGGACCAACGCCCCAAACAGGAATGTGTGTACTTGTGTTAAACACACACATCAGGTACATGTTGGCACCACCGTTTTCTTTGCTTGATATTTATCTTGTCATTCCGGGTCCCTGCTTTTCCAGCTGTAACACGACGGGCCATTTGTAATCATGTCATTTTCTCGAAAAGCCAGTCTCTGTCACAACACACCTATGAGCAGACACACCCTGCATTTTCTCCCCATTTGTCTCAGGTGGATTTTGCTTTGACTCTCACCTCTCTGTTTTTTTTTTTTTTGTTGTTTGTTTTTTTTGTTTTTTTTTATGCCACTTTAGCAACAAAAGCATCAGCAAGACTAAACATGTGCAAAGTTTCCACATTCCAGCTCACTAACAACAGCTCTCATTCCAACGTACTGGACCTGGACTGTAGGACAGTGAACCCTCCCCCTAATTAGGTGGCATTTTATCAGGTATATAAATCATAGGGTTAGGCTATAACAGCATCACAAACACTCAGTGTGGAGCTGGAGTCATGCTGTTGTTCGTCTGCTTTTTGTCCCATCAAGTCAAGAGTTTTCACTAGCAGTGACGTTGAGGTGTGGCAAACACTGCAGGGACACTTGAACAGGTGTCTGAAGGCCCTCTCACCTACTGCCTGTTCTATGCACTTTAATTATCCGTCTGTGTCTTTTTTGCCGCAGCACACAGGCTCTTTGAGAGAAGAGAGACTTGGAAATGGCTTCCTCGTTTACTCTTCAGGCTGAGATGGAGTAAATGTTTAACTTTGGATTTGCTTTGCACCTAGAGTCCATTATTGTCAGACCGTAACTTTTCCTGGTTGAAATGGTCCAAAGTTCACATGTAGATATTGTCTTATTTTATTTAACATTTGACCAGATAAGAAAGAGACGTTTTTGACCAGATAAGAAAGAAACGTTTTTTTATTTTATTTTTTTGACCAGAGCAACCCGGTGTATAATCGATGACTGACATCTGGGTTGAGGAGTCACACACAGATGTCTGGCTTGATGAGAATGAAGCAGGTGTGACTAATCATAAACAATCTAGTGACAATGCAGAGTGAGGGATGGAATATGTTGATATCATATTCCAGACATTAGCACTGACATCATTCACTGAGAGAACGGTAGGGAAAAAAGACCTGACATCTGGTTAAGAAATAGTGTGGATAACTATCATCGTAACTATGTCACAGCTTGTCCACCCACCGGTGGTGTCTGAGACATTTCACAGTTTCAGAATTTCATAAAGAGTAGCCACATGGTGGATACATGCTTAGTGCTCCTGCCTTACAGCCAGAACATCACTGGTTTAATTACCAGTGGTTTATTTCTGCCCCCCCCCCCCCCCCCCCCCGCCCTTTTTCATGCTTATCTACAAAAATATCTACAAAAATATATAACAGAATTATTTCCCTTGCATAACAGTGTAGTGTGAATGTGTGTCTAAGCAGCAGGTTATCTTATGGACTTTGACAGTATATGATTATATTGTTGCGCTTTGATGATTACGCTGCTCCTTCATTCTTAAGTTTGATTACACAGAGCAAAACTACGCTCCACTACTGCAGTAGTTTGAAACAAAGAGAGTGGAAAAAATTACACACAGAGGACAGATTCAAACGTCTTCCGGCAGAGTGGGAACCTTGTGGATTATATTTTCATTGTACACACCTTGTGTGTAACCAGGCAGTTTATGACACAGAAGCAGACATGGAGTACACACACACACATACAGATTCACTGATGACTCACACCTTAGAGTAATCCTTGACACACCTGAATTGTTTTCCAAAGACAGTTTGAATGATAACACGGGGCGATAGTCTGACGTGATAATGGTCGACTGGTTTCTGTTGGAGTGTAGCCATGGAGATTTGTTCATTCTGCAAAATAAGTTTTGAAGCCAGTCGTTTTTTTGTTGTTGTTGTTGTTTGTTTGTTTTTTTAAATGTAACTAGCTTAAAGGCAACGAACATAAGTTTGAAAAATTAGATTATATTTTACTTCTAACATATACATGGCAGTACAAGCACAAGAAAATATGTTGTAAATAAACAAGTACAAATAAGACAAATAAACAAGAATAAACAAACAAAAACAGAAAAGTGGGTAAATGAAGAATAAAAGCAGAAAAAAAAGAAACGTAACCAGTTTAAAAAGAAAATCACAGGGTGCAGTTTTGCTGTCTTCGCTTTATGCCTGCAGAGGTCATCAGTGAGTCACTGAACACAAAGGGGTAAAGCAGGACCTATTGGGGGGCTTCAGCCATACTTCATGGGGCCACTAAAGACCTGTCAGACGGACACTGCACCAGTAACTCCCACAACAACTAAAAGCTGTGCAAAAATGCAGGAAAACAATATTAAAATGTAGGAAAAAAATAATTCATTTAGGACCCCGACAGAGGTGCACCAGTGCTGTGTATCATAACTGTAGGCGTTTTCTCTTCACCATATTTAATTGTTTTTCTCTTTATCGCTGTATTTCCTTATATTTAACACAGAGGGTACTGTGCCTGTGTATTTTTGTCTGCAGTGTCACAGTATGGCCAGGAGGTCGAAGCATTGCTGAAGTTACTCTACACGTCTAGCAGAGCAGATAGGATAATAAAGTCACATGACCAGACAGAAAAAAAGAAAGAAAATGTCGGTGTAAATAATTAAACATGCCAAATGCACACCCTGCTGTCACAAACACTGACGTGGTGTTATAATAGAAAACAGGACAAAACAAGTATTACACTAAAACTATGGTAATGTGTATGACACGGTGTAAAGTACTGTGATCAGAGGAGTGGTGCGTTTGTTGCAGTTTCACCGTTAGATGTCACTAATTCCTACTTCCTGTACAGTACGAATATTTCATTGAGTACTATGTGCACAAATGGAGCTGGAAAACAATATTATGAAATTGAAGATCATTTTAAATGTCAAGCAGCGCATTCACATTTTAAGAAGGCCTTTCTTACCCATTTGAAACTGCTTTGGGGCAAAAAGGCTCACTGGAGGCAAATGTATTATTATGGTTTTTTGTTTTTTTTTTTGGTACACACATTTAAAACAGTGACTTGAGTTGCTCATACTCTCTACAGTAGTATGAAGAGCAATGTTGATGGTCAACACATTTTTTGGCCCATGCCCTTCAATTGGGGTTAATCTGGATGAAGGCCATGAATGACTGTGATGAAGGCTCCCTGCTGTGTGATGCCCTTCTAATACAGTAGTTGTCAATAAAACAAGTGATGCCAGTACCACCTAGACACTGATTTATGATAAAATGGTCTGAATTATGGGGGGGAAATCCTCAGTATGTTCAGTGTCTATTCAAGTAAATTACCCTGTAATGGATAAGTGGATGGATGGATGGACATATTTTTCATTTTCTTGTCCAAGGTTGCAATCAAGTTTTTACAGTTGACCCTGTGCACAGACCACGGTGTAGTTCCATATGCTGAAGCTCAGTAGATAAACCAAAGAGAACAACATCCTTTCTTCTACGTAAAGGTCATGTTATATCATGAGGCACTGGGAGAGGGGTGAGCCAGGGGTTCCTCTGTCTGCATTTCTATCTTCTGACAGAAAAATGCAAAAATCCTGTATGACTTTTAGGTCGAATACACTTGTGATTGACACTGAATAATTTTGATATTTTAATTGCACATGCTGACTTTAAATGATATGTACATGTTTAAAATAAATAGTAAGGGCTGTACTGTCTCTGGTTGTATCACAAGATGGTATTCATTCCATGAGGTATAAAAATATTTTCAAAAATATTTTCAAAATATGTATTATATTATAATATATTATAATATAATAAAATAGAAATAAAAAATTCTACACAAGACTTCACAGCGTCCCTACAGTGACTCTGTGGACCCCCTGTTAAAGACCACCACTATAAAGTATCACCATGTTTATACTTCAGCAAACTAAGACCAATTAAATAAATTTGATGTTTTTGTAGCACAATATATTCCCCATAAAGCTTTAAAATGATTGTTCATTGTATTTTATCCAACTCTGGTTGCTAATAAAGCTACACTAATAAATGAAACTCACTCATAAGACTGCAAGGCACGGCTGCTGGAATCTGCCTGTTGTGCACATGCACACAGGAGACAGAGGGCATTTTAATCTGGAGCAAAGGTTATTTGTTCATTCTTTCAAATGGTGCAGTCAGTCCAACCCTGGACAAACAGCACCTGACCTATCACTGTCCTAGACAAACAACACACATATTTGGACAGCGTATCGCTGACTGTCAGCTGAAATACAATCAAACTTTATATTCCACAATTTTCATGACGGTAAAAGGGGCAGGAAACAGAAAGGGGGGGGGGGGGACTAGAAGGTTCCAGGCTTGATCACACCCAGTCCCCAGGTTGGGTTGCGTCAGGTAGAGCTGCTGCTGTGCAGACTCCTGATAATGAAACGAACCTATTGGTTTTTGTCATCAACACACAGTTCAAATGTGAGTATTGTAATACTTATGACTTAATGATTGAATGGGTTTAGACTGTGAGATGAATATGGCGGGTCTTATTAAAACCCACTGAGACACAGGAGGACATGCAAATGCTCTGCACAAGGACCATTATTTACAAATGGGACATGAACCAATAAACATCCTCCTGTAAAGCAAGCGCACTAACCACTCTCACACTGTGCGGCCCCTAATAACTGAATATATTTATGTCATGTTGACTAGTTAATTTTTCACTGTTTTTGTGGTTTGTGTGTCTGCATGGTTACACTTTCCTGAAGCTAGAGCATGTGTGTCAAACTCAAGGCTCGTGGGCCAAATGTGGCCCGTCAAGTCATGTTTGTGCGGCCCGCAGTTCGTAATTGCTTTATAATAAAATCCATGCTGTTGAGTTTCTTAACTTGATTTTTTTTCACAGAGCAATGTGCAATACTGGTAAATTGAATAAATAATATTCAATTGCAGAAACATGTATTAATTCTTTATGGAGTAGTTACAGTCATGAGCTAGAGGTTAAAAAGTTGTTAAACAATCTTTTCTCTCTCAGATGTTGACAAATAAATCAAAAACCTGGAAAAAAATCTGTGTCAATCAGTATGTATAACTCCAAGTATTTGTAAATACTCGGCAGTAAACAATGATTTGCATGTTGCTGTCACGATAATCAGCAGGTTACAGGTGGCCATATTGGTATTGCACACCCTGCCTTCGTGGGCAGGTGTGTTACCTGTGGCTCTCTCAGGAAGCAGCCGCTCTGCTGCAGCTGTGCCACAGATCAGTGACGCGCACATAATAATATAAACGCGACGAGGGAGATCAGACCAACTCTGCGTCCTGTCTGCTGGACTGACCCAGTCCTGCAATGTTTGTTTGTCGGATTGTTTGTTTGTTTGTTTTGTGAGCTGGAGGATTCACGACAGCAGACTGACGGAAGTGCTTCCTGACAATAAAGAGGTGCGTCTCATTTCCACTCCGGCAGCGACGGACTGCGCACGGCTTCCAACGCCGGAGCTGAGGAGCACTGACGCATTGTGGAGTCGACAACAGGGGGGTAGTCGTCGCACTGCAAACCCCGGCTTCGCTTCACAACGGAGGCATCAATCGGCAAGACCGCGATGGCCGTGGTGCAGCTCGACACTGACGCGGACCATCAGCCGGAGAACGGCTTCGTGTCCCCGGACACCACGTCGCTGGGGCTGCTGACGCGCGTCGACGGCTCCGTGCTGCCGTTTCTCGGGGGCTTTGGGAAGTACCAGAAACAGCTGATCGTGCTGACATGGATCCCTGCGTTGTTCATTGGATTCAGCCAGTTCTCTGACAATTTCCTGCTCGCCCAGCCGAACAGCACATGCATCCATCCGGCAGTGAATGCGACTAACCACACCGCGGCTTTCTCATCGTTGCTGGCGGACAGTGCCAGGAACGGCAGCGTGCGGCCAGCCGCCCACGTCCATGTCAATGGTAGTTGGGGCAAATACAATGACAACAGCAGCAGCATGCTCTGTGACTGCAGCCAGTGGACATTCGAGCTGCACACGGGGCTGGTACAGAACGTGGTGACCAAGGTAAGATGCTGCTGAGGAGCACGGGGTAGAGGAGGATGAGGGCATCCTCGTCCGTCCTCAGCCACTGTTCCGCTGTCACACCGTCTTTCCTGATCTCGTCACGGTTGATTTACTCAAGCAAGACAGTGGGCCATTATCAGCACCAGTGCATTCTTTAAATAAATGTCACCTCCAAGTAAGATCAGTGTGTGAGCCGAGCCTTAAATCATGCTCCAGAGGGATGTTGGGGCTGCACCTCCATTGTTTCTCCTCATGCATGTATTTCATCCTCTGAGTTATTTCATCACCTCACATTGGATCCACAATCTTGCAGGAGTGTATGTACGGATTAAACAAGACACGTCTTGACCTCAGTTTATTGTACATCTACCATACGCACTGTTTTAATAATAATAATAATAATAATAATAATAATAATAATAATAATAATAATAATAATAATAATAATAATAATAATAATAATAATAATAATAATAATAATAATAATAATAATAATATGCACAGCCACAGCCCAACCAGATTAGTGATTGAGGCTCATAGTGGTTAATGCACTTGCCTTACAGCCAGTATGTCAACGGTTTGATCATTGGTTAGTCTCTAATTAATGGAGTTTGCTGGTTCTCTCTGCATGTGGATTTGCTTTCACTTTCCTCTCACAGTCTCCATGCATGATTAGGTAAATTAAACCACTCTTATTGACCAGTAGTATGGTGAGTTTGATGTTTGTCTGTATATGTGGCATTGTGATGTATTGCAGGAACTGTCCAGGGTGTATCCCTGACTTCTGGTATTGGCTCCAGTTGCCCCCTCCCCCACCAACAACCCTGGAAAAAAAGTATTAAGCAACAGAAGATGAATGAATAAATAATGAGATTTCAATAGTAGCGTTTACCACTGTTGCCTCTTGGCCTATCTGTCTGGACTTTAAATGCAGACTGGGAATTTGGGTGAAATCCAGCCCCTCACACAGTTGACCGTCATTGTGAACGTGGGCGTGAAGGGTTGTTTTTAAATATATTTGACCTTGTGAAAACTCTGGCAGCTCATCATTGAATATCATTGCCCAATATACTCCATGGGCTCTGGGTCTAATCACAACCATTACAAATCAAGTCCAGCAGCAGGGAAAGTGAATAAATGATAAGACATAAACAGTACAAAGTTATTAAAATAAATCTTTTCATACATGTATCACTGGTTACAAAGTAAAGTGTTAGGCTGAACTAGCTCTGTTGGACTGAAATGGAAATAAAATAAGTGGAAGTCAAACAGAAGATTTGCATGCTTCTACTCTTTGGTTTGTTTCCTTCAGCAAACATAAAAACTGTAAATAATACCTTCACTTTAGTTTAAGTTTCTGGTTAGTTTCTGTTCTTTGCAACATTACTCTGGTCATTTGTTGTTGTTTTTTTTACATGATCCTAATGCTCTAGCCCTTATGGGGGTGTGCATGAAGGTGTAAATGTTGGCGGTGGACAATTTTCTCACTTGTTTTATGACAACGGAAAATATTTATTTTTAGTACCTCGTTGTTTTATTCAAAATTTTTTTAGGTTGAAACAGAATGTGAACTGTTGACTTAAAGGTGTGGATTAGTCACGATTAAGTAGCATTATCATTGGTACACCCTTTTCTTACATCTGTTCAATGGTGTTTCTGCATTGTAAAACTTACTGTGTAGCAGAGATGACCATCATGCACCTGCATTCAAGGAAAAGTTAGATCCATGTTTGCTGTAATTTACAGAAGAGACACTGGGATTTTTTAAAAATATTTTATTTCCGAGCAAAGGTTATTTGTGCAGCCCCTCCATCCCTGGACTAACATCACCTGACCCATCAGTGTGTCAACCAAATAACAGTGCGGTATTTGGACAGTGCCTGAGTGATTCTCATGAGGGGCAGCCTTGGCTTCTTATAGCATTATCATAATGTTCTTTATTATTGATGAGTGGAGGTCAGAATAGAAAGACAGTCTAGACCTTACAGTCATTATAGTTGGTTTGCCAGCAAAATGATGAAGGCTATTTATCTCATTATGTCTTCAGCTCTTCTCCTATTATGGATGGTGCATGATGATGATTATGTCAAGATATACTGTACGTGATATTGAACAGGACATGTGGTTCAGGTATATGCAATGAGGAAACTGACTTTGAAAAAGAGTAGGAAATAACCTTGTCATTCACATTTGGTTTTGCTCATTAATTTGCTGCTTGGATCATGGAAGTTGATTCAGTGATTCACAATATGACCTCAGTCACATTCTTGCAGAGCACAGTAAACATCATGTTTAATCTGCAGCATCAACAGCACTAAAGTGTTTGGGCCACAAGCCATAATGAGGAAGAGTCGTATAAGAAATGATGCTTTGAAGCCATTCTTTATCACAGCCACAGACAGTTGTATTGATGGAGTTAAAATCCAAATAAAATCCATATGGATGCATTGGCACGAAATGTCCATTTGGTGATGTAGAAGGTGGGGTTGCATATAAAGAAAAATGTGAAAAATTCCAAACCTGAAGCTGATTATTACATCATCTTCAGGGGTAATAACAATTGGGTGGGTGTTGTCCGTTACAGGCAAAAATGTTGCTTTTGTGTTATGAAAAAAAAAAAGACCAGATGCTTTTGCGGTGACCTTAGTTCTGAAACACTGTATCTGCTCTCATGCCGGCATCGTAACAAATGTGTCTGTTGCTTTTGCAACACAACGAGAATGTCATGTTGATACTAAAACCAGTGACGGGGTTGAGCAGTTGGTAGTATGTATGTATGTGTGTGTGTGTGTGTGTGCATGTGTTACAGTGCTCATCTTCCTCGACTTATGCAGGCTACATTCGGACAAGGTCACCGTGAGGAAGAAATTAAATCAGATGGCATGTCCACAATTACAGGCGAAAGTGAGCACTCACCCTTCCATTTGTCCTTCTCGACGAACCTTTACTTTGCTATCATTGTTTTGCTCCACTGCACCGACACTGCAACCTGTGACACTTTAAAAACTGAGCAGATAGCCAACGCTAATGTAATGTTTTACAAAAGGTGTAGCAACATTCCTGCATACTTTTGTTAACCTCGAGATATTACGCAAAGGGATTTTATAGACCATAAAGCAGTCCCAGTTATAGTTAGGATTTAGTTACTTTCATACTATATGTATCTGAGTTTAAATATCTTGAGGAACTTTTCTAATTTACAAATATTGTTCATTCCGGGCTGCATTTGCATCCCGGGCCTTGAGTTTGACACGTATGATGTTTTCCCCCCAAAGTTATGAATGTCCTGTAATCGGCAGCACAGGAATACATTCCCTCTGACGCAGCAGTCGGAGAAGGCCTTTCTGGAGGCAGCAGAGGTTGAGCTGGTGTAGAAGAAACCCAAGCGGTGAACGTGGAGCCTCGACCTAATTGAGTCAAAAGCTCTCCTAAGGGTTCATCTTAATTGGACTGAGCCTGAGAAATGAGAAAGTATCATCTCTCAGAGACAAATCGTCTCTGTGCAACTTAACCCTACTTAGCTCCTCTTCAGATATGGAGCAGCTGCACACTCCATCTGAAACACCGGCCCCAGAATGTCCTCATGGCAAAGATTAACCTCGCTATTGATCCTCCATGTAAGTTTTTAAAGTTTGTTGTGTCTGGATTTGAATTTAAATCCTCTGATATGACACTTCCTTTGTTTGTGCCATAGTGGGGAAAATGCACTTTTTTAAACTTAAATTTTCTATTTAAAAAGTTATGTAGGAACTGTGTTTGAAATGTGTGAAGGGGGCGTTGTAGAAAAGATTTGGGAACGACAGGTTTAACCCATAATTTAACTGTATAACACCCTCCGACTTGTGTGCTATTTTGTGTCACGAGAATGTCACTGTCCTCGCACACTACATTAGGACAATGAGTGACGGAGCGTGTTCTGCAATATCCCTCTGCCAGTAAACACTACGGCAGAGCAGATTAACACACTGTCAAGTGACATTTATGATCAGTTGCAGTTAGCATGTTAGCAAAGATGCACCACTCAGTTGGAGCTGTTGAAGTGAAAGGTTCAATAGTGTGATATTGAATTTACACGTGAAGTTTAAATAATCAGTCTATGTGCTAAATATAATTTTAAAAAATAGCTGACTTCCTGTTAGGATTATTAGATACAAGGTCAAAATATTATTTTTATGGCAGTGATATTCTAAGGTCAGGGCTTGGCCGTTCCTTTTTGTACAGTGAAATCAGAATGTTTACTATTTTTGATTTCATGCAGATTTATTTAACAGTATTGGTGGATGTTTTTAAATAAATAAAGTAGAATTAAAATGCTACAAACAATTAGCTTAGATAACCTCCTGCCCCAGCCAAATTGAGCTAAAGATTTGCTGTCCATGTTTGGCCCAACCCTAACATCAATCATATCTTATTTTATTTAGGGTAAAACAGCCTTCCATTGATGTGTGGTGACTGTAGACATGTAAACCTTTAACATAATGTTGGTTTGAAAACTGCTTCAATCTATATTTGTTGTGGAAAAAACAATAATTGAAATCATCCATGCAGGGATGACGTTTCTTGGCTCAACGCGTTATTCTCATCGACAGCATCAGTTTGAGTGTTCTCTTATTGAAAGTTCACAGTAAAGCACACTGGCGGGTACACCCAGACCCCGTGTCAGTATCTGGTCCTCACACACCCATAGATGTGAAAGACGATACTGTAGTTGAACACCGCGCCGGCCTCTCTACTCTGTCCCCTCTCGCTGTTTACCCAGCTGGTTGGCTCCTTCCACAGACTCCAGATCAGTGTGGGACACTTTGAAAGAGTCTCAGCTGTCGAAAGGCGATGACCCCACTGCAGATACCGAGTCAGCACACAATGACAGCCACTCACAGCGTCAGCTGGGAGGAAAGACGCTGGTGCGACTGAAAGATAAAACTCAGTTGAGGCTCGTTGTGTGTGCGTCTGTGTGTGTGTCCAGAGTTAGTTCCTTGTGTCTGATAAGAGAGGAGTGATCATTTTGGAGGAGGGGGAGAGGCTGACCTTTGGCCTTACTTTTGGGTTTGTTTTCAGACTTGTGTGATGGAATTCACTGTCGTGAGAGTCATATGATACCTTTTGTGAAAAAATGCGTTTGTTTTCCTCAGCTGCCAACAGAATGGTAGATGCTGTTGTTTGTCTTCACATGTGTTGCATAACATCCACACCTATAAATTATTCTCCAGCTCTACATATTATTAAAATGCAAATTATACCAGAACTTCACAACTGTTTTTTTTTTTTTTTTTTTACACTTGCATGTTTACTGCAAATCATCTTTACAGGAATGTCCATTCAGTGGAAATGCAGCCAGTTGTATGGAAAAACCCATGCGGCCATAATTAATGAATTTATGGGGGTGAACTAATAGTTAATAAAGATAATTAGATTTTGTAAATAATCAGTTCCGGCAGCATCTAAAAATAATTGCTATATAACCAAAAAATAACTGCTTTGGGTTTTATTTATTTATTATTTAAAAATCAGGGGTAAAATTAAAATGCAGCACGCATTCCTCGATCTGATAATTCCATTTCTAATCCTGTCTCATAATTAGGTAATCATTTTAGTGCCAAAATGGTAATACTAATCTACAGCCATTTAGTTTATGGTAATACTTCCACCATTAGACATTTGAGAACATATTTTTGGAGAATTATAATATTTGTTTTTACTCTGAATAGCAAGTGTGCTATGGATGTGTAGTTGTTGTTGTATTTTAGCCATCCCTCATCTGCCACCACATTATACAATGCTGTCCCTTGCGTCAGGCAGTGGTGCTAAAACTTGTGCACTGATAACCACACCGATGGTCTGTTGCTAGGCAGTAACTATGCAGCAGCCTCTTTGTGTACAATCTGCTTTTTCCTCACAACTGCATGAAGGTATTTCCAGCTCCTTGTAATGTCCTTTATTCAGCCTATTGCGCTCCATCTTCGTGTATGTTCTCTTCCCACATTGTACAATCTGTGTTCCTGCCTCCTCCTGGTCTTTCCTGTGTCTATCTCCCCTTCCTCCCTCTCTCCTGCCCCTCCCCCCCCCACCCCCTCTGTAGTTCAGCGAGTGCAGAAATGTGCAGCTGCAGTCGAGAGAGCCTTCATCTGAGCCATAGGATGATCGGTGGCCGCTCTGTCTGAGTGAGCTCGACAGACACGCTCGGCACTTCCACTGTTTCACTCCTGATCTGTCATTGCAACTCCTTATTTTCTCCGGCAAACAGACTTATCCACGTCTAAGTGAATGATCCGCACATTTCTCACAAATGAGCAAGACAATAGCAGTTACAGACGGCTGTATTTGACTCGTGCTTCGGCTGAATCACACTCTCTGGAGATTTCCTTGTGCTGCTGCAGCTGAATGTCTGTCTTTTTCTCCACTTCTGCTCATAGTGAAGTGGAGAACGGGGTGACAGCCTGGTCAGAGGGGTGAGAGTTGAACAAATTCTGCATAATAATGAGACTCAGGCAGTGACGGCCTTTTATTTCCTGCTCATGTCATGACCACTCAACACTTGTGAGACGTTGTGGCTTCATCCACGTGACTCGAAAATCCTGACATGTTCATATTGGTCAGCTGTCCGTGGTCAACTGCGAATGCCTCGTCTGCAGAGTCACCCAACTGTTATCCATCTGTGAAATGCAGGAACCTGTAAAGTTGCCGACTCAGACTTTCTTTTCTGTCCTCCCAGTCCTTCAGCAGTGAGGCAGAGGTGTTTTGACCCACTTATTTTTTTTTGTAGTGATTGTGCAATACTGTAGGAACTTGTTTGTCTGACGCTGCCCTTTTTTTCTCTGCTGACATCGTGGTTGAAACCCTGAATGGCTGGCATGCCTGGATCATGTGATGGTTCACTGGCTCTGTACAGTCCTGTAGGGCACCATTATGGACGAGTTGCTAAAGTAGAGGTTGCAGGAGGTTTGAAGAATGTGAAGACAAACTAGTCTTTGTTAAAAGGTATAGTATTCAGACATTTTCTAGAAACAAGCTGTGGAATTAGGAAACACTTATCCACCCTGAGTCCTAACTTCTGACATTTTTGGTTTACCAAAACAAAACCAAAAAGAGATCCTGTAGCACATACTGGAAGGTACTTACTCAATAAGTGTGGGCGTTTGAACCACTTATTTAATTGCTGAGATCACTAAACACTCAACCAGAATTTGCTGGCGCAAAAAGCTTTGTGTTCCAAGTAATACAAACCAGGATCACTACGTATTAATGTACTAATTTCCATATATAAATATATTTTAAAGCGCACACACTCCAAACGACTTCTGCTTTGTGCAAACACCGCTGGTGTTTATGAGGTGTATTGTCACAACTTGTGACCGCTGTAGGGTAGAAAGGCTGAAGTCAAGCTGAAGAATGTCCTCACTGCATTATGACTGCTCTACGGAGCTACTGTAGTGGTGATTATGAAGAAACGCGGCCTGCGTCTCACTGTACTGCCCAACAACATACTGTGGAGGAGGAATTACATAACTTATTATTAACCACTCTTCTTATCAAGGTCTGTTGTTTTTGAACTAAATAAATCATAAATGCAGATGAGTCAGTGCCTAATCTCTGTGCCGACATGTTGCAGGAACATTCGAGAGGTGAAAGAAATCGACTATTGACCAACGTGATTACATGGTTACTGGACCAAAAAAAAAAAAAGAAAAAAAAAACAGGTTGTCATTTGTTTTTTCTGCTGATGTCGGCTGACATTTACTTGAATGTGAAAGTGGTTTTGTGCCATTATACCGAGTGGGTGTTCATCAAGAGACCCATCCAGTGACTCATCAAATCCAGTTATTAAATATATAATGTTGAATATTATATATTCGCTTCCATTTTCTTTACCCAGCTGACATTTCTTGGAACTGATGCCTGTGTTTATTTATTTATCTCCACAGTGGAGCCTGGTGTGCGGCTCAGCATCTGAAGTCCATATCGCAAAGTTCTCTCTGTTGGTTGGATCAATATTTGGATACCTGGTGTTTGGAATCCTCGCCGACTGGTGAGATATTTACTGTCAAGTTCAGTCACACCTATTGCAAAGGCAGATGTGTTTTTCAAAATACAATTTAACGTTTATTTCTCTTAGGTTTGGCCGCCACCCGGTGCTGATCATATCAGTATTCTTCATGCTCGTGTTTGGTTTGACCGTGGCCTTCTCCGTCAACGTGGCCATGTTCAGTACCCTGCGCTTCTTTGAGGGTTTCTGCCTGGCTGGGATCACCCTCTCTCTCTACGTTCTCAGTAAGTCTGGAGCTTAGCGCTCATCGTTTCATATCAGGAACAGTTAATCAAACCACTGGCCTGGGGGCCACTGTGGCGCTTGGATGGGATTTCCAAGTGTTTATGCCAATACAGATACAAATCAGTGAGGAACATGATGTTGCTCCACAAGGCTTCTTTGTATGGCTAACACTATTTAAGGTGGACTGTCCATAAGCTAATTTTAGATATTGTAGCTGACTTTTAAATTAAACATCAACAATAATAATAATAATTATTATTATTGTTATTACTACTACTTAGGATTTTGCATTTTAGGCAGATAAAAAATATTTCCATACACCAACTTTATCATACATTTATTTTGCACATTTTTAAACTGAATCCTTATGAAGGTTTATTCCTTTTATTGACTATTTTGAGGGTAAATTATATCACCAATGATTTTCATCTTAGCTCCATTTTGCTATTTGCAGCCAAATGTATGTATGATGTGATTTGGGACTTTCTACACTAACTTTTAATATTCTCGTTGCTAATTTGTAGCTTTTTAACAAACCTATAGCTAATTATGCTTTGCTAACCCAGCTAAGTTCTTTTTAGCTTTTTCTGATAAAAGCAAGAAAAACTTTTCTTCAGCTATTTTTAAATTTGGCAGATGTACGTCACCCCAGCCTTAGTCTTTCATACTTAATGCTGTGATTCATCTACATTGATCCAAATTTGTATTTCATCTCAAGGAAGAGGAATGGTGTTGCAATGACCTTAGAGTATTTATAGTAATATTTTGTATCACGATGAATCATCTCTTCTCAGAGATTGTCACCCTGTTTGCCCTTGGAGTTAACTATTTTTATTTAAGTTCGAATGTTTATGCTTTATTTGAATTGGTTGTGGCACAATCAATTAGTTACGGCTTCAAAAACATGTCAGCAAAAGCTTTTTTATTCTAATGAAGATAAATTCTCTTGGTTATCTCGAGTTGACCTTGTGGGCACATTAAAAATTCAATCACTTAGTACTCCAGCAATGTTACACAGGTTTCCAAATCTGGACGAGAACAGATTTTATGATAGTCTCCCAACGATTGGCCTTTCAGAAGCAGCACATGCTGGTCTCCGCTGTGCATCCATAAAAGCGCTTTTTGCCACATTAATTGACTTGTGCAGAGCGACGCAACCGAGGGGAAGGAGGAAGACAAGGACAGGATGATAAAGTAGCCGGACTTCAAGATCCTTGTCTTCTTAAACCCATCAAATCTGGAGACAAAGACGATGGAATGAGGGCGGTTTTAACTGTAGTAATCTGTGGTGTGGTTCACTGTGTCTTATCGACTTTAGGCAAACTTCTTCATTTACCAGCCGGGCAGGCGGCCACAGCAGTAGAATAAATGTATCTGCAAATATATATGACTGTTAATAAAGCATGGGGCGTTAGCTACTATAGCAGGGTTCTGCTAAATGTATAAAAATCCTGTTTCCTTTTTTACACTTTCACCTTCTCTCTGTCTGGCGCTGAGCCTCACTTCCCTATTTTTTATATTTTACACTTGCTTCTCAGCCATTTAATCTGCAGCACTACAGCTTTAGTCTATAGGTGATAGAATTTTTTTAGGAATTGATAACAATATGTATTATGTACTTGAATGCAGCCTTTGCAGTGTGACTTAACCTAGAAGGTCTGCAACCTTTGATGCTAGAAGAGGCTTTTTTTTATTATTATTCTACAACACAGAGCTGTGTATTACACAATGGCTTGACCTTGAGGTGACATGACTTTCTCAACCTGGGAGCCAGAGCCACAGGTTGCAGCCGCCCTCCCCAAATATGTTAGACATTAACATGCAAATGCTTCATGGCAAAATTCATTAAAACAAGTTACTAAATAGTTGGAAATTATAAAATGTTATGCAAACACTTGGTTGTTCCTGGTGTTTGTTTTCCTTTTTTTTTTTACTGCAACCCAGTTTCAGGACAGTGATGTCCACGTGTTTGACTGGTTTATTTACATCAACAAATACAGATTATAGTTTTTAAATTTGGATATTTGTGACTTTTCTTTTCATTTATTAGCAATGTAAAAATTGCCCTTTGATATTCAACGGACAATTTGAATATGAAAGTCCCCTACATGAACAGCCTGCAGTGTCACTATGAAGTAAACTGAGCCTGAAAGGTGTGATATTTCCTTGAGCTTTGCATATTTGTGTAGGGTTTTATGTTGCTGTGCTGCCACCCTTATTTTACATCATCCGTGGCCCTGGTCACATGATATTTACCCTGTAGCCGTTCTCTATTGACAAAACTCCACTGGGGCTGGTGCAGGAGTAGGAAAACATTAGCTCAATACAACATTAGCCCAGAGAATCAATTTGAAATTTTATTTCAGGGCATTCTGTCGAGGTCATTTAGCAAGATTTGTATCACGTTCACATATGCTTCAGCGGGTCGAGTGTAAGTTCGATGCTGGTTTCACGAGTCACGAGTGACGTGATGCATGAAATGTAGTAAAACACATGATCCTCCTTTGTGGCCGGCTTTGTTTGACTCTGTCTACAAAGGAGAGTCATGGATGGGCCTCGGAGTTGGCTTTATTTGCGCTGGCCACGTTTCACTCTTCCTTTCTTCTTCCTTGTGCAGTCCTCTGTCATTGTCAGTCTTGAAAATTGCCGTTTGCTCATTAGAGCCTTTTGTTATGGATTGACAGGCAGGTTTATGTATTGCAAATAAATATTTTAGGACAGTAATTAGACGTCAGTAGCTTTCTGACCCCTCATTGATCTGTGAAGGCATCAATCAGAAAATCCATTGAGTGTTGAGGCTATTGATCGGCCCCTCTTTAGGAACATGGAACAGTTTTGCAAAGCTGCATGTTCCACCGGGACGGGCCTGTTGGAGGAGACAGTCCAGAGCCAAACACGGCTGATTTCACAACTCCTGACCATAGAAACAGAGGTCAAAGATTTATCTCCTGAGGGAGGTCAGAGTTGGTCATGTGGAGTATGTGATTTGACAAATCAAGGAATAAATATGAGCCCGAACTTAGTAAAGTTGGGCTAGACAAAGTATCTAAAGAAAAACTTAAAACATGGCTCACTCTTTAACATTAACAATTAGTTTTTTGGGTGGATTAATTATTGTACTATAATGCTTACAAAAATAGTTAAAAATGTGCTTGTATTTGATAAGGTCAAATGGGTCAAATTAGCTAAAATACATAATGTTACATAAACAGAATTGAATATATACACAAATATATCTTATTTATTATATATTATATATTATTTATTATAATGTAAACAGTTAAGTTAGATTAGCAGTATCTAAAGGACAATTTGAATAACAACATACCAATAGACAGTCAGTCTATTCAAAGCTAAAAATAATGTAAAGAAAATAAAGTTACATATTGGTCTAATTAGTAAATGTTAGCCAAAAGAAGCATGTGCATTAATATTCAAATGCAGTCTAAAATATTGCCACTAGTTGGCAAAGAAATATCCTAGAAGTTAACCTGAAGGTAGTTTCAAAGTTGGACACCTGGTCCTATTATATTATATTGCTATTATATTGGCCAGTTTACAGTAAGAAAGAATTCACGGGCCAATGGATCGGACTTTGGACTGTACAGAGAAGAGTGGCCATGACTGGGATAGATAAAATTGATCAAGTCATGTGGGTTATTTTAACTGCAGTCTTTGACAGTTTGAAACCCAGTGTAGTATAAATTGAGGTTTGCATTAGCCTTTTTATTTTTATCGTACGGTGGCTCTTAAGTATGCGTATCAGCAGGACGGCAAAGCTATTAGCTGTTTAACGTCATCCGATGCAACGTTGCTATTTATACCGGGGTGTTCATTGGTTTGCACCAGCCTTTTTTTAGCATCACAGCAGCAGCAGCACCGGTGCCAGTCAGGATGAGGAAGGCTCACCTCGTAGAACCTACGGCTCAGCATCAATGCCCCGCACACCCCAGCATTTTTTACAGGAAACACTGGTGACCGTCACCTTATATGACCCCAACATATGAGCATGCACCGCGTATCAAATAGTTGGTCCCAGTGTGTGGATAAATAGGTGATCAATCTGACGTCAGGTGATGTGTACCGCAGCATCGGGCCAGATCCTGCTCTTTATTTACCCAGCCCGTTTCACACACTGACATGTGTATGTGAATATCTGTGTTGGGTTGTTTGTTCTCACCCTAACACAAATACAGTAACTGCATTTTTATGTATGTTTTTATGTATGTTTCAGGATTATTACATGGACAGGTAATGCATAAGAAGGCTGACTTTTTTGTGTCTTCAAGAATCAGACAAAGGGCTTTAGCGAAGGTGTGTGAATATTACTCAGAGTTGCAGCAATGTTTCCTTTTTGACAAACTACCTCCTTGTTGGCTCTGCAGGTGCAGGGAAGATTACAGCTAAAAATAAAAAACAGTCTGTGTTTGTGTGTGATCAGAAGCTGAAAGAATATCATTTAGCATGTTATATGGTTAAAAAGCTAAAGCTATTTAAAGTTGTTTTTTGGCATTTTAGGAGAGGTTGAAAAAGCCAAAAATGGTTCGATAAAAGTAGAACAAACAATGACTAAAAAAAAGATTTGGCGTCCGTTCAAAAGCATTCCTCATACCAGCTAGTAATGTATCCCCATATTTTAGAAAACAAATAAAAACAAAGGCAAATATGATCTAACTATATTATATAAATAGAGGAAAAATAGCTAAAGGTTAGCCAGACGGCTAGAGAACATACATGTAGGTTGTGTTCCAACTGAAAGGTGGCAGTGTCGGCTCCGTGGATGCGTGCTAACGAGCCCCTGTTGCTGAGAAGAAAAACCACAAGTGGTATTTAGTTCCTGAAAGTGAACTGGAAAGATGTAAGCTTTAATGTAGCATTAAATACAAATGCAAACATCTTTAAAGTCGTCTTAAGTATGCGGCCTGCTTGCTTCGCATGTTTGAAAGGTGGTGGCAGGTTGTAACACGCCAGGGGTGTGTGTGTGTGTATCTGCGTCAAC